CAGTTCATACTGTGACATTTTAATCCGTAAGCATTTGCCAAAACTAATATTTGGTTCAAAAGAAGATTTTAGGAAAACAGAGAGATGCTTTAATTTATTTCTCAGATGCGGACTTAAGCCTGTGGCTCTTTTAATCACACAGCTCCTCTTTCTGTTGTTTCTCTGCAGAGATTGGACCTGTAACAATCACAACGGACCCAAAGAAGTTCCAGTATGAGCTGAGAGAGCTGTATGTTCAGGTGGGTTTGGAAACCACAGAAACAACAGCAGTGGCTTGGATGCTAAGGTCATCTGACCTTGATATAAGGTGATATAAGGGATCAACCTGTGGTCATGCCAGATGTGTGGATAGGAATGTTTGTAAGCTGAGCAACAGTGTTTGGGAGGGAATTGTAAAATTGCGTTTTTTAAATTTGTGTACCATGAAATTCCCCTGTGCTGTATAGCTTTTGTAGTGTGCCACCCTAAGATCTTCTCTTGCCCCATCAGCCTCCTCCCCCCGCAAAATATTTTCTGCCGGCGCCACTCCTGATTAAGACAAAGTGTTATTATTTATCTTACAATAGATGATGAAAGAACTCTCAAACAATGATTTATTCTTCTTATTTTTACACGACTCTTGCAATTATTGTTCTGATTACGAGTAGTTTCCATCCATGTAAAATAACTATCATTCGAAATAACTCATCCCGTGCTTATTTTTCATTCCACACCACTACAAACAAATGTATAAATAAAAACATACACTGGCTAGACAGCTAAACAGAGTACTGCCAAATCCAAAAGCTTGTATAATCCCTTGAAGAGACAAAGGAAGTTGAGCAGCGATGTACTTATGCACATGTATGTGTATGATGACAGAGAGAACAGATCTGTGTATCCTTGGTTTGTGCAACTGTTAATCTGCTGCATGTGTGTTTTGTGTTGCCTGGAATTGATCCAGTTTCCTCTCCTCACCTCTTCACCTGCACAACCCCAAAGAGGTTTTAGGCAGGGTACATGGAAAATGTGTGACATTTGTCTTTAAAATGGCAATGTTCTATCATGAATGCAGTTGTGTATAAGGGAGTAGAGATGTTAGGCAACACTTCATATTCTTAGTCACAAGAAAATAAGGATGGGGGCGGCATTGGGACAACAGGGGAACAGGGGAGGGGATTTTTGTCCAGAAGGGAGGTGTTGGGGTTTAGGGCAGATAGATAAGTAACCCCCACCCCAGCCTAAAACAACGGGTCATTCCATTCCAGATGTTACTCTAGGGGGTGATGCATCCAAGCTAGCTCAGACAGACTTTTGCCTATAGGAATGCTGCAGAAAACATATTGTAACCCACCGGTCAGACAGAGATTAGTCAATGATTCTTTATCCCCATTAGCTTTCACAGAGTGATCACTAGTCTTCCTTGGGTCCACTAGAACAGCAATTACATCAGATTGATTAATAAGCATAAAACAAATGATATAAAAAAGAATCCAAAAGCCAAATATATATAAGAAGATTTAAAGCAACTAAACAACAAGATAATTGTCATTCCTGGCAATTTCCCCTCACTGACTTTTATTTTGGTGCACTTCTGCTGCTTCATCCAACTCCTTTCACCTCTGGCTTCACCACTTTCATTGCTAGCTCACTCCCCGTCTTCCATCTGTATAATCAGCTAACCAGTATTAAAGTCTCCAGCCAACATTCACTGGCTGCCAGAGTGTTGTCAGAGAGGCGTCCAGCCTGCATCTCAGCCCAGCATTTATGCTCCACATTCCCATGTTTCTCACTTTGTCCTCTGCGATGTTAGACTAAGTTTTCACCTGTAGTCACTACTTCACAGACACGTCTTCCTCACCATTTTTTTCATGTTTTTACATTCATGCATGGACTCTCATTTCTGGTCAGTAACCTTTGTTCTAGCTTTATGCCCATCATGCTCACAAACTGACTCTAGTACTTTTTTTAGTCCTGGTTATTCCATCTGCCTCCTGTTCCTACTTACCAACCCTCCTGAAAAAGAAGATACTGTGCTACACTTTACTTTGTGGTATTCTGCTTCATACCTGCTAAGATGCTGATTTACTTACCAACCCTCCTGAAAAAGAAGACACTGTGCTATACTTTACTTTGTGGTATTCTACTTCATACCTGCTAAGATGTTGATCTGTCTTGTGTATTTAACTCTCCCATTTTAGGTTTTGTGGTTGGGTTGTTACTGATCTTTGAGAGAGCCATGTTTTATTCTGGCACCTGTATTCTAGTCTTAATTTTTAATATTGCCTAAGCCTGTTTACCGAATGCATACTTTAATATCCAGTAGAATGGACTATTGTAATGCTGTCCTCTCTGGTTTACCCAAAAAAGTTAGAAATCAGCTGCGACTGGTTCACAACTCTGCTGCCTGAGTGCTGACCAGGATCATTACTCTCATTGTTGTGTTTAAATGTTGTTTTTAATATTCACATTTACTGTCTTTTTTCAGTCATCTGTAAAGCACTTTGAATTGCATCAATCTGTATGAAAGGTGCTATGTAAATAAAGTTATGACTGATTGATTGATTGATTGATTAATTGATTGATTGATTGATTAATTGATTGATTGATTGATTAATTGATTGATTGATTGATTGATTGATGTTGCCAGTCCTAATAAGTCCACAATGACTCAGACTGCAAATGATCAATGACATACAGTATCTGCTGGAGAAACCTGCTTAGGTGGCTCACAAAAGCATCCACACTCATGTACAAAAACAACTTACTGATAATACACTGCACCTCTTTTCTCAGGGAGGTGGGGACTGTCCAGAGATGAGCATTGGTGCCATTAAGATCGCTTTGGAGATCTCCTTGCCAGGGTCCTTTATTTACGTCTTCACAGATGCCCGTTCTAAAGATTACAAATTGACCCATGAAGTCCTGCAGCTCATTCAGCAGAAGCAATCACAGGTTTAAAGTTTTTTGTTAGCAGCAAGAGTGTAGTAACATTAAGTTATTATTATTTTATTAATTATTAAATCTTAATATGAGTTATTTATCACATTAGAGGTAAAGAGTTTACATTGTTATATATGTGTGTACATGTGAACGCAGGTGGTTTTTGTGCTGACGGGGGACTGTGATGATAGGACTCACGTTGGCTACAAGGCTTATGAGGAGATTGCCTCCACCAGCTCTGGGCAGGTCTTCCATCTAGACAAGAAACAGGTCAATGAGGTAAGGGAATCATCACTGAATGGAAATTTGGAGCAGTGCAAGTCTGTTTCTTTTCTAGTACAAGTTTTCAGAGTCAGCAGAAAGACTTTCTGGTTTCAGAAAGACTTTGGTCACAGTATTCACATCACTGGAACATGGCCCGGGTTGTCCCCCTAAGCTGTGTAAATTAAATAACAGTAGAAGGTTTTACAGCCGCTCTCATGTCTTCTGCTGTGCCTACATTCAAGTCTGGACTCCAGAACAAATGTGCTGGAAATATTTCATTGATTGATGCATACCATAGCTCTTTTTAACCTTTCCAAGAAATGTAAATCACCAGTCTTGGATAGGGCCATTAGTCAAAACTTGAGGTTTGAATAGGGTTCTTGTTTTATACTGCATGATAAGATTGTTTCCTAGAGAAGGAAGGTATCTAGATTTTAAGCACTTTTCTATTAAAACTGCATTAAAGCTGTTCACCTTTCACCTTTTTAGTAATGCTCTCATTCCCCAGTCTTTCATTCTTTCTCTCTGACATTTGCTCATCAGCATCATTCTTGTTTAAAATGTTTGCAGGGTTACATACCCTAGCACTCCTTTTACAGTCTGTACCCCCAGGACAGCTTTCAAAGGAAGCAAGGAGATAAATATAGTTTTATAACTAGTTTTGAGAAAAACAAGAATTGAATTTCTTGACAGTTTGCTTGCATTCTAATGAATCACATTTAAATAAAGAAATCATAAATTTGTACTTTTTTCTAGCAGCTGAGTAAAATCACTTCTTCTTCTTCCAGCACCCAGGACTTCCTCAAGTTTTTTTAGATAAATGTGTTGTCTTGTATCACAAAAACCTGCTCCTTCACTTATTCTAGGTAGAATCGAGTCTGTCTCTGGGTCTCACACAGTGGCAGTTGGGTTCTCCATAGGGGCAGGGAGGAAATGGGGGGAAGCACACGAGGGAATGTTTGAAACTTCCCAATGAAAGCTTTGCACATGTTGAGGGGATGACCTTGTAAGCAGCTGAGGAGTTAAACTTGTGCACTGGTGTGTGTCAGTGTGTGTTAGCTGGTAGATTATTTATGTTGAAATGAATAAAATGACTTTAATAATGTTATTTTTTAAGTGTTATTTATTTAACTTCTGTGCCATTGTACAAAGACTATATTCACACATTATAAATGATGTGTAATTTCTGCGCTTTTGACATTTCCTTCCCATCACTGTAGATCCTCAAATGGGTAGAGGAGGCGGTGCAATCGTCCAAGGTCCACCTGCTGTCCACTGATCACTTCAGTGGGGTCAGCAACACTTGGCAGATACCCTTTGACCCCAGCCTCAAGGAAATCACTGTGGCCCTCAGTGGCCTAGCACCTGACATTGAGATCAAAACCCCCCAAGGTACGATATATGTTACCATGTAGCAACAGAATTGTAAATTAAAGTCCAAAAAAAACCCAATTTGTTTTCCAATAGAGCACTTTCAGAGACTTGCAGAAGTTATGTCAGAGAGCATGAAAGCTGCTCTAACTACTCATGGTAGTATTACTAAGCCACTTTATGTAGATTTTTCCAGAAACCTCTTCCCCCATCTCTGTAAGAACATTTTTGAGAATTACTTTTTAGGAAAACTGCAGAAGATGATATATGGTAAACACAACACATAACACATTTCTTTCACCTACAGTATGCTGGTTAATGCTAAAACCACTTTATATTTTGACAAGCAGTACTTTATGTTAAGTGTCTAGTCTTCATTTACATTAGTCAGAGCTGGATTAAAGGTGTCTAATTGTATCAGTGTTCATGTTTGGCTTCCAGGGAGGCTTGTGGGGAAGAGTGATGGTCTGACTGAACTCTTGCACATTCCAAACTCTGCCAAAGTTGTCAACATCAAGGACCCACAGCCTGGGATGTGGTCTGTCAAGGTAAACTATTTATTCTTTATCTGGAAATGTATGCAAAATTAGAGGCTTCTTCTAACAATTCCCAGAGCTGAGCTGTCTTTTCTGGTTCAGTGATATAACCTTGGAATGAGGTCACAACTCATACCCTGGGAGGGACCTGTACCCTTGAGGAAGTTACTTAAGTTACTGCAGTAGAAAGACACATCTGAGCTCTGAAATGATTTTTAAGACAGACCTGGTAGATGAAGATACAGTATGCTCAAGGACACCGCTGTCAACACAACCTGGTACATTTCTATTTGGCTACCTTTGCTGTTGTGCTCCTCTTGCAGAGTTGAAAATGTTGGCACCCTGAAGTTGAAGTTACACAAAAATAGGTCACACCTTCGACTTCCCACACTGTCAATTCCAGATGTTGGGAAATGGCAAGCATTTTTACCTGGCTGATTTGTTGAAGAGCCTCGATGGCCTCTGCTGTAACACTTTTCTTCATAGCTGTGTTATGTGTTAGCACTCATTTGATTTATCGGGGAGGAGATTGGATGAAAAACTCTCATCTCTGTGTTTCCTCTTAAAGGAAAATGTAGTTGTAAGCAGATGAGGATGCATGTGTGCTGAGTTTTTTGTTTGTTTTTTTTGTTTGTTTTTTGCATATTTGCTAGATTGAAAAAGTCTGGATTTCCCATTATTTGTCCTGGCACTTCAACATTTACATCAAATCTCTTTTACATCTGGCATTTGGTTTTTATCACTTCCAAATCCATGTAATCTCCCAGCATACAGCTATGATGTTTGGTGCTATGACTCTTCTCCTCTTTTCTTTGCCACACCCCGTTATGTCTCTCTACTGCCCTTTCACCTTTCAGTAGGCACTACTGACATCATTGACCAAGGTATTCAGTGTTTATACCCTCTGGCTGCAATGCATGTGTCCATTGCATGCTGATGTAGAGATTTCTCAAAAAATAAGATGCCTCTTGTTACATCAATGTAGAAAATACACTTTTGTTTTTGGACTGAGATTGACTGTATAAGGTTCTAAATGGTCTTATACATATAATGCACTCTTCAATGCATTGCAGTACACTCAAAGTGCTTTCACATTATTTGGCTAGTCGCCCAGTCAAGCACCAGTGACATTACCAGGAGCAACTGGGGCCTTAGTCAAGGACACTTCGACATGTAGGGTGGACAAGTTGAGGATTGAACTGCCAAGCTTTTGGTTAGAGATGATCCACTTTACTTCCTGAGCCACAGTCACCCCCAAAGGAAGCAGGGACTTTTCACTTGTATCTGCATCTGATAGAAATGATGAGGAATATTAAACAGACATAAAAAAGAGACGATGCATCAGCTTGTCTTATTTCTGTGCCAGTCTGTTCTGTCCTGTTTCTGTGTTCCCTCTCAGTCTTCTTTAATCTTTTTCTGTGACTTACTAATGCATTTTCTTCCCAACACAATTACTGCTCTAATTCTATACTTCAACTGAAGCACAGCAGGATTAGCTATTCTTTCTCTATAGTCTGAAAAGTACTTTTTCCCATTTTCCCCATTTCACCTCTTGGATTCTTCCTTTAGCAACGTCATTCCCCCACAGCACCCAGTTTATCAACTAAAAATATCTCCTCCTCATCAGTAGCCATGTTTCCCAGGACATTCAAAGAAATGTGGATACATACTTCAGGGGGTTTTTGCTGTTCTGCCATGCTGGGTTTCAGTAACACTAATGGCATGTTTTGTCCTGGTGTTACTTCATTGATTGAACAAGTTAATTTCTAGGCTAACAACTGTTCTCTATCTTCTTGTACACTCACACGATTCTATTTTGCTGTTTTATCTTCACAGGGAATTAATGTTTATGCCAGGCAGAACTTAGTAATTGTAAAATACAACAAATCCACATGTTCTTCTTCATCTCATGCAACTGCAAATAACAGTTTAGGTTGCTTGACTGTGCAGTGTGAGTCAGTGCCTGTGACACCTTCAAAGTGTTTTACCTAAGGTGAGGAGTTTCCACCTCTCACCAACCTGTATTTCATTGTAATCAGTCTGTCTTTGTTTCTGTGAAACTTCAAAAGACCTCAGCATGATCGAGACCAAATGAACCATGGTCATGTGTCTTTAATTAAAGTATGAATGTCAGACTGAATGCGTCACCTATGAATTGTGGATTGTATATTTGACAGTCTTAAAACTCAGAGTGGCTTGCCTGTACTTGTGAGGATGGTTCAGTTGCCAATCAAATGGCTGTTACATGACAAGCTTGGTACTGTGTCTGCCAGTTAGACCACTCAAATTCAGAAAGTTAGCAAAAAGATTTCTAAAATCATAGCTTCTCTTCTCTTGAGTTACTGAGTGTAGATTGATGTCCAGTTTAATCCATTTAAAATGAAATTTACAGTATAATAAAGCATATAAAGTTGTTGCTGAAACCACTATAAATATTAATATAGATCTCTCCCTTTTCTTTCTGCTGCAGACATCCAGTGAAGGACGACACTCTGTCCGTATCTCAGGTCTCAGCACCATTGACTTCCGAGCTGGATTTTCCAAAAAACCCACATTGGACTTCAAAATGACCTCCAGTAGGCCAGTTCAAGGTCAGTGAGGTCAAACTCTAAATGAAAAGGACATCACAGCTGCATGCTTTCTTTTTTACCTGTTGGGCTGATATAAAGACCTAGTCCTCACCTTGCACATTAAGGTAGATTCCTTTTCATCTGTTCACGTATACCTTATAGCTTTTGAACAGCAAAGAATACAGTAC